AAAGTGCTGGGATTACAGGCATGAGTCACTGCGCCCGGCTGTAACTTTTTATTTATAAATAATCCCAGGTTTATACAAACTTTTGAGGAACAGCACAAAAAACTCCCCATATCTCCTTCCCCCAGGTTCTCCATTTGTTACCATTTTACATTTGTTTGATTGTTTTCCATTTGTATACATGCTATTATTTTTTTCTTGGAACCATTTGAGAGTGAGTTGCAGGCATCATGCTCTTTTGTCCATCAGTACTTCAGCATGCATTTTCTAAGAAGAAAGACCCCTTCTTACATAACTGCAGTACAGTTACTTAAATCAGGAAAGTAATAACACAAATGCTATTACCTTATCTACAAGCTTTACTCAGATTTTGCCATTGACCCACTAATGTCCTTGGGTCTAGGATCCCATCCCAGATCATAAGGTGTATTCAGTTGTCACATCTCTAATTTCCTTCAATCTGGAACAGGTTCTCAGTCTTTCTTATTCTTCATGACCTCGACATTTGTGGAGAGTCCAGGACAGAGCGGTGCCTTTGTTGGATATTAAAGTCGGTTTGGTGGGACCCTCTGATTCTCAGCATTTTGTAGCTACACTGAAGGCAGAAGACAAAGAAAGAAAAGAAATCATGTTTGGCATAACTTGTCTCAATTTGAATGCTTTTGTTTTCACCAAAGTCCCTTTTGCAAGTGTCTTATCTGAAGTTAATAGTTAATAGTTAAAGTTGAGCTTTGCTGGATGTCCTGTTCTTTTAAAAAGCCTTAGCTCAGATGTCACCTCCTTGGGACAATGGCTAACTACCAAGTCTTATTGTATGAATTTGATGTGAATCACCTCATTTAATCCTCACAATAGCCCTATCATTTAGGTACTCTTATTTTGCTATTGTATAGTGAGGAAACAAAAACAAACCCAGGTCTAGGGTGTGCCTGCTTCCCCGCTGGACTGCCCCCTCTCCTGCCTCAGAAGGGCCTTCCCCAGCCCCTCAGCTTAAGTAGTCCCCTGCACCACCCTGCAACCATCACTCTACCCTGTCTCCTGGTTCTGACTGCATTCCAGCACTTTGCCAGCCAGAATGCCTTTGTTCACTTAATTACCTGTTGATGGTGGGCCCTCGCTACCAAGCCCTGAGCTGCAGAGGCGCAGCCATCTTTCTGTTCAGGTCACCACGGGGTGTCCAGTCCCTAAGGTGGTGCCTGGAACACAGGAAATACTCATAATCTTTTTTCAAATGAACACGTGCATATTGTCTTTGACAAGGCCTTTGGTAATAACACTGCTTTCCAAAAAGTCAGTATGGGTGAAGTGCTTGAGAGACTTGGGTCTCCTCCAGAAGATGAAATAATGCTGTGTCAGACACGTGCTGAGGAAGGGGGCTGGGGTGTGGGCCCAGCGGTGGAAAGAGCCCTTCTGCCGGGCCCAGAACAGGCCATGGGGCCTGGGGCACGTATCTTCAAGCCTGTGGGCCAAGAAGCTGGGAGAAACACAGGTGGGTACCCCAGCGAAGAGAGGCTAGGATGCCTGTCCTGGAGCAGCCCCCTCATCCCCCCACCCACAGTTTGCGATAGAGATGCAGTTTCTGTAGTAGCTGCTAGCCTGTTGTGATAGCGCCTTTCTTTTTTCTTTAGTTGAGTTGACAGGTTTCAGCAGACTCACAATCAAAACAGCAGAAGCAAACAGAGACAAGCAGAGGGATGACAGAAGTGTCTGTCAGCTCATCAAGCTGTCAGGGCAGGGTTTCTAATTTAAAGCAACACCAGGAAACACTGAATAGTGGCATTACTATATTGGATTAAAGGCTAAAAGAATCAAATGCCAGAAATGGCAAGCTCAGTTTCTGATACCATTCCTCACTCGAGTGTTAGCCATTTGGTGTGGTCCTAGCCGTGGCTCTTTGCCTGGCAGAGGCGCTACCTTAAGTCACTTCATCAGATGTTTATTGAATGGCTGCTGTGTCCCAGCTCTGTGTCACCCGCAGGGGATACAGCTGTGAATGAGGCAGAGCCGGCTTCCCTGTCACTGAAAATCAAGACCCTAAACAAGGATGGTATTTCACCACATTGAAGGCACCGTTGTTTTAGGCACTCCCTAAGAAAGAAAGAAAAATATTTATTATGTGGTAACACAAATCTTTCTTATCGTTTAGAATTTTTGTCTTATGCTTA